AAGTTAAAATATAAAACAAATTTAGTCATTAAAAACATTTTTACCTTTAGCCATGGTTTTTGACTTTTTGAGACTTTTTGGACAGCTAGATTTTGGACTTAGTTCAAAATTAAAAATGAATTTGGTAAGTAAAAACATTTTTGCCTTTGGCCATGATTCGCTAGATTTTGGACTTAGTTCAAAATTAAAAAAAAATTGGTAAGTAAAAACATTTTTGCTTTTAGCCATGGTTTGCCAGATTTTGAACTTTTTAAAATTAAAAAAATTTCACTATTAAAAAAATTTTTGCTCTTGGCCATGGTTCGCCAGATTTTGGACTTAGTTCAAAATGAAAAAAATTTCACGATGAAAAACATTTTTGCCTTTGGCCAAGGTTTGATAGATTTTGAAGTATGGGAAACGGACATAAGCAATGGTGTTTTAGTTGTTGGCCAAGGTTTCAAAGTATGGCTCAGAGCTTGATTACTTTGTCTAAAACTTTGGCCATTCTTTATTAGACTTTGCCATTTTTCCGTTTCCACGCGGGTAATAAAACATGTACAATTTATTGCGATAAAGAAATTAATTTTGAACCAAACGACTCTATAGGCAGTTTGCTAAGATTTTCTCCGCGCAAATTAAAAGCTCAGGAATATCATGAATCTGATCAACCAGTATCAATTTTTAAAATAAATTCTTTAAGAGTAGAATGTAACATAACTACAGGAGCATATATAAACGGGGAAAAAGTGCATACTATTCATGAATTTTTTCCTGTTGTGCCACCAGGATATAAGATAGTAGAAGTACCAAATGACGTCATTTATCTACCAGTTGCAGTGAAGACAATAGACCATATTCAGTTAAAAATTGTTGATCAAGACGGACAGTTGGTTAATTTTCGTAGAGAGATGATAACAATTAGACTTCACATAAAGTCTTTAAAATAATGGGGATTGTTTTTGGTAACAGAAGAAAAATTGGTTTTGGTTATAAAAATAACACACCATGGCAAAAGAAAATCAGTCAACGACGAGTTCTGAGACGGCTAACACCACAAAATCTACAGTTACTAAAAAGTCTAGGCTTCAAAATCGTGAAAAAAAGAGGATAAAAAGAATTTTTACTTGTATTTGTGTATTTGTATTTAGGCGAAGAGTTTTTTGTTATGGAAGGGGAAATTTTAAATATTGATTCACCAATCATCTTTGATGAATCTATTGCTAACTATGAGGTACATGCGCAGCAACCATATGCATCATCAACGTACAATAATAGTGACGAAATAAGAATCACTGTTCAAAATCAGGATCATTGCCTTCTTCCAAGCAAAAGTTCGCTTCATGTAACCGGAAAAGTTGTGAAACCTGATGGAACAGCAGAAAATTAGTATCTAATGGCATTTGTCATTTATTTGAGGAAGCAAAGTATGAATTAAATGGTGTAGAGATTAATAAAAATAAAAATGTCGGCCTTACTAGTCTTATGAAAAATTATGTTTCTTTCGATGCTAGTCAGAGCAAATTTCTCGAAAATGTTGGTTGGATGGAACTTTCTGACGAAGCAAAATTAACTAATGATGATGGTTATTTTGATGTGTGTATACCGTTAAATATGATTTTTGGTTTCGCTGAAGATTACCAAAAAATCATTATTAATGCTAAACATGAGCTTATTTTAATTAGATCTAGAACTGATTCAAATGCAGTTTTACTAGAAGCACCTCTCGAAGAATTTAAAATTGTAATTGAAAAACTTGAATGGCTGTTGCATTATATAAAATTGTCAGATGCACGAAAATGTAAATTACTAAAATATATTGAAAGAGATCCATCCATTGCAATAAGCTTCAGAACTTGGGAATTGTATCCGAACAGAATCCCTTGTTACCAGTTACTCCTAATCATATTTGGAGTGTAAAAACTTCAAGTCAATTATCTGATGTAAAGTTGTTTTTAAATTCACAATGTTATCCCTACAGTAATATGAATCTTAACTATGATAAAAATCAGTATTCTACTTTATATGAAATGTTTACTAATTTCCAAGCGTCTTATTATAATAAAGAATCTCAACCAATTTTAACGAAAAAGGAATTTTTGACATACGCTCCTTTAGTTGTAATAGATTGTTCCAAGCAAAATGAGTCATTAAAAAGTGGACCAGTTGACATTCGTTTGGAATTTGAATCGAATGAAAATTTTCCGACAAACACTTCAGCTTATTGTTTAATATTGCATGATAGAATTGTTGAATATAAACCAATAAGCGGAATTGTGAAAAAAATTGTGTAAATTTGAAAATTTATTATTAGTTAATTAATTAATTAAACATTGTAAAAATATAATATTTTTAATAATAATAGAATTTATTATTATTATTATTATTATTTAATATTATTCTTATAAAACATTGTATAATTCTCAAAATAAGAATGAATTATAGTAATAAAAAGTAACTCACTTGACCTTGCAAGGAATTTGACGCAGGTCAGTTATGTGCTACTCTAGAAGCTGTGACAAATTTACCAGATGTGAAATATACAGCAAGTGCCCTGTACGACAGGCCAGATGTGGTAGGCCTCTTATATTTGTATATAAACCATCTACTGAAGATTTGATTAAAAACAAAAACTTTTTTTGAGCTCTACAAAATTGTATTTATTTAAAATATTAGTTTTGTAATTAATAAATGTTTTTAAATGTAATTATTTGAAAAATAAACAAAATATTTTTCAGTAAAATATTTAAGCATTTTTTTTTCTATTTACGACTTTTTATAAAAAAAATTAAGTTATTTAATTGAATAATTTTTTTTCACTAAAAAATTATTCTGACTATTATTAATTTATTAAGGCAAAAGAATTAAAAGATTTATGATTACTTTTTTTAAGAATTATCCTCATAGATACAAGGTATCACATCTAGTAGAGGGTTTATATGCAATAAGGGGATATTCATGAAAAGTTGTATTTTTAAGGACCTTAATTTTTAAATATAAACTTTGGATTCTTTTATGGCCTTTGGTCCGTATAAGAAATAATTTCAATTTGGTTTTAATATAATTTATTTACAAGACAACCACTCGAATGCATTTTCGCCATGTACATGGCTCATCAGGAACTACAATGAAAAAATCGGTTTAAGATCTATGGTCGGAAATCGCATTTTAAAGGTCAAAAATAAGGATATATTAACATACCGCATTTTACAGGGGTTGAGAATTTAAATTTAAATTTTATAAAATTAGAGACATCGATGGTAGACATAATCTCCAAAGGTAAACATACAATGAATGTTGTCGAAAAACTTTACAAGACAAAAATTCCATTCTCATGGGCTGGCACAGGTTTTGTGTAGAAAAAGGTGGTATAATTAAAATGTTTAAAATAATAATCATAATAAATATTAAAAACTTCTTTAGTATGAGAGACATTGGCAATGTGCTCTCTGAAAATGACAACACACATATTGTTAGGTTAAGGTGGGTTAAAGCCTTCTCCACAGTTGGTATGCGGTGTAAAGGTGTGTACATAGCTATAAGGGTGATTTTAGTTCAATAATAAGAGGAATTAATATTTTAGAGATTGGTTATTTGAGAGATTATTAAAAGTATCAATTACATCGAAATACATGATAGATAGATTTTCTGTGTCAGTTCTGAAATTTATGGAACGTTTGTCTTTTACAATGTGGAACATCTCCAAGATATTGAGATTATAAGAAAAGTACGCCAATTCTAGAATTTTTACTTTTGATTGGTCAAAATTGAAAGAGTGGTGTAGTTCGGTAGCGTGTTTGCATAGGGCAGTATTTGTTTTTTTGTGGGCTTCCGAGTATTTGTGTTCGTAAACTCGTTTTTTTAATGGTCTTATAGTCTGTCCAATGTAAACACTTTGTAGCGAATTTTATAAGTGTGCACGGGGTGTTGAAGAATGTGTGGTCTGCGGTGTAATTATAATCGTCGATGTCCGGAGAATTTCCGAAAAATCGTCGTTGTACGCGGTAGAGTCGTCGGCGATGCGAATCTGAGATTCACATTCGCAGGTGTCTGGGAGCGAGAAGCATCAATTACCCGTTAGCGGGGTGAGTAAAAAGAAAATTGTCCTCGTTGGTTGCTGGCACGTGGTGTGCTAAAATAATTTTATTAACTTAAATGAAATATTCCAGTTCTTGTGCCGGGTGCCGGATTGATCTATAAAAAAATCGAATATCTGAGTCACCGATTTTTTCCACAAAATTATAAGCTGCAATCGAGGGCTATATCGAGACAAATCCGTTGGCGTGGCGTCTACAAAATCATTTCTTTTGTACGAGTCCTGTGTGACGAAATTACCTGACGTGGCGCTGCCAAGGATTGCGAGTATCCTGATTGTCAAGCGAAAAATCTGATTGACCGCTGTCGATACAAATTTTAATTCATTTCGATCGGCATCGAGCTCCAGACACACTAAGAAATAATCAGCTAAGTATCTGCGAATTTTTAAACAATTGTTATCGTCCCATTTGTTATAATTGATTTTTTTTTTGGTCGCTAAACTTAAAGCGCGATTTTAAACTGGAATTTGTTATTTAAATGACTAACGCTTTTATACAAGTTTTTAATCAGATTCCCAGAATCAAATATTATTGTTATAAAATAAATAAAATAAAAATCTAATTTATTAAAAGTTTAACAAGTCGTAGTTTAAATTGTATAGATCGAATGCGTATGAATTTTATGTGTGAATTGCGCTCAATTGTTTTTTGATATTTCTCGTGAAATTGTCGATAATTTCTAGATCCACAATCTAATTGAAATAAATTTGAGAAATTGTTAATGTTAATATTCGCTCGTACTTATTTCTCATTTCTCGTTTAATATTCAATTTTTGGTGAAATTCCTAAATTGCTTATTCTTCACATTTTTGGCGCCCAACGTAGTGGCAAAATTAATCGATAAAATCGAAAAAATTGTAAAATATTATTTTTGAAAACTTTATTTGTGTAAATTCTAATTCACTTGAAATTTTAAGCATAAACATGCCGCCTAAAGTAAAACAGATTGACGACGACATTCAAAACCAGCTTCAATGTCAATTGGAACAACAGCAACGCCTGATGGAGGAGATGAGGGGCGAGCTGGATCGTTTACGGGCTGAGCGAAAAAGTACATCGCAGGAGAACGAAATTCTTCGCCGTCAAGTCGTTCAACTAGAAAAAGCGAATAAACAGGCACATCAGAACGCGTTACGTAGTGTGAGTAACCATGACAAGGCTAAGCAAAGCCAAAGTGATAAGAGTAACAATCAAAATAGTAGCTCAAAGAAAAGTAAAGTCTCGAATATTAATCAAAATAATGACTCACTCGGCACGCGTAATCCTGAACAATGTGAAAATGGCCTTCAGTTTAACAATAACGATTTAATTAACGGTATTTTGAAGCAATTTCAAGCTTTACAAGTTAATTTAGTTTTGCCTATATTTGATCCGGACCGTTCTAACCCGGTTGAATTCGTAAGAAACTTTGAAAAATATTGTATTCGAAAAAATATTTCAGAAGCAGATCGATTATTAGTAATTGAAGATGCGCTGCAAGGGGCAGCAAAAATATGGTTCGATGCAATTACTATTCCCTTTGCGAATTATACCGAATTTAAAGAATTATTTTTGAAAGAATTTTTTTCATTAGAAGTTCGTATGCACGTAAAAAGCGAATGGGAAAATAAACGGTTTAATAATACTGATAAATCCTTGCAAGTGTATTATAATCAGCAAGTTAAAGTCGCGAAATTGGCTGTACCTAAAATGGAAAAATATGAAATAAATTTTATAATAATCGGTCAATTTCCGCCACACGTGCGTGACATTTTGTCAACAATTGACTACGCTGATAGTGAGAGAATTTCTAAGGCACTCGCTCGGCTTGATCTGTCAGGGGGTTGGAATAGATTCAAAAATAATTATAATTCAAGAAATAATTCGGAAGCCGCGATGGGAACGAATAAAGCCTCTGGTCATTTTAGTAAACCGGATTCGCGAGAGGGAACAATAGGTTCGCATCGTGATAATAATGACAATAAACCAAAAGATTCGAACGAGGGATTTCGCAAAAACTTGCCGAATAATAATTGGCGGAATCATAATAATCAAGGTCAAAGATCGAATGGTCCACAGCGTCAATTCGGGGAAAGTTCTGCAGCAAAGTACCAGAATACACGCGATAATGGAGCCAATGATCCGATGACTCGGCCTAGTACGTCAACTAATAATAATAATAATAATACGGCGAGTAATAGCGCAAATGTTCGAACAATTCAGCTGACGAAAAAGAATGAATTCGTAGAAACTCTCGTGTGGGACGTAGAAGCACCGGTCGAAAATATTCGTGAATTTGGAATGCATATTAGTAGTCCGAGAATTTTGATAATGATAAGTGATACGGAATATAGCATGTTGTTAGATTCAGGAAGCGAGGTTTCCCTTTTTTGGTCATTCCCGGACTAGCCACTGAGATAATAGCCGGTGCCGACTGGCAGATGCACTTTGCGATGATAGTCGATTGCGAAAATAAGCGAATTAAATTCAAAGGCGAATATTTGTCCGAAAATCATGTTAAATTCTTCTCGGAACCAATAGCGAGTTTTACCCGTTGTTGTCAACATTTAAAAATTAATAAAAAATTATGGTATAATTGCGGAGCGGGAGAGGAGGTATACGAAAGTCAGGTGACCGAAACGGAATCTCAAGTGGAATTTTCCGTTGTTTCAGACATAGGAGGGGAGGAAAATCCTGCGCGAACTGATTATCCTGATCATTTATGTCAGATAAGATCGACATTTCTTTCGAATGAAGAAATGGGGGATAGTCAGATACGCGAATGTGATGAAAATCAGATAGAATTTATAGAGCAGGTAAAAATTTATGTTCAAAATCTAGATACGTTGAGTGATGAACAAAAAACCGTGGTAACGCGTTTATTGTTAGATAATCAAGATGTTTTTTCGACGGAACCCGGTTGCACTAATATTTACGAACATCATATTAAACCAATTAACGGTAAGGTGTTCGTTAAAAAATCGTATCCTGTTCCTCTCGCGTTGCGAGATTCTGTAAATAAAGAAATACAAAGAATGGAAAGTTTAGGGATAATCGAGAGATCTGACAGTCCGATCTGTAATCCACTCAGGGTTGTTCACAAGAAAAATGGACAAGTCCGATTATGTCTCGATGCGCGTTGGTTAAATAAACAAATAGAATCGGATAATGAAATACCGGAACGCATAGACGATTTAATTCAGGACGTGGAGGGAATTTAATATATGTCTACCACAGATTTCACGATGGGTTATTGGCAAATACCCTTAGCGTTTAATTCAAGAAAATACACCGCGTTTTTGCATAATGGTCGTTGTTATCATTTCACGTGCATACCGTTCGGCTTAAAGACGGCGGGTGCCGGATTTGTTAGAGCTGTGAGTCTCGGATTGGACGGCGAGATGTTGTCAAAAATCAAATGTTATATTGACGATTTTTTTATTCCGTCTTGCGCTTTTATCGAACATGTCGAGTTATTGGATTCACTTTTTAAAAAATTAATTCAATTAGGATTTACTCTGAGTCTTAAAAAATCGAAATTTTTTTGCGAATCCGTGAAATTTTTGGGCATGATAATTGATCGATTCGGGGTACGCGCGGATCCGGAAAAATTACAAACGATTCAGGATTTTCCCGCGCCACGAGATCGCAAACAGTTACAGGGTTTTTTAGGAGTATGCGGATTTTCGCGTCGGTTTGCAATAAAGCATGCAGAGTTCGTCTCGCCTTTTCGGGATTTGTTAAGGCCCAATACAAAATGGATTTGGACCAAACAGCATGAGGCCGCGTTTAATCAGATGAAATTAAATTTTTTGCACACGGTCACATTGCGCCACCTCGTCCCGGATTGTCGATTCAGACTTCAGACCGATGCGAGCGATGCCGAAATTTGCGGAGTTTTGTACCAGGTCAAGGAGGATGACCTGCGAATTGTGGCGATCACGAGTCGAGTGTTAACTAAATATGAGACAAAGTATACGGTAACCGAAAAGGAGTTACTCGCAATAGTTTACTCTCTTTTGAAATTCCGCCGGTACCTGCTTGGGATTCATTTCGACATTATTACGGATCATAAGGCGCTAACATTCATGTTAAATACTCCCCACCATATCGCGAGGATAACTCGCTGGGTTTTGTTTGTGCAGGAGTATGACTATGACATAGAGCACTGCAAGGGATCCGATAATGTAGTCGCGGACTATTTTAGCAGGAATTTCGAGGGAACTGCGGTTTCAGGTTCAAATCAGAAAAATTATCTTGTTAGCCTTTTAGGTAGAGAATGTGTTGACGCGATCTCTCATGGTAGCGAAAAAGGGGGATTGATCGCAAATCTTCGGATGAGTGGAGAATTATTGCACGATTTGCAAGAATTGTCGCACCTGCAAGGTATTTTATACTGCAAATCGATCCGAGATGAGAATTGGAAACTGGTCATTCCTCAAGGCCTAATTTTATCACTTTGTACATCGATTCACGAGCAATTGGGTCATTCGGGATGTTACAAAATGCACAAATATATAAGTCGTTTCTTTTATTGGCGATATATGCGCAGGGATATTAAGGATTTTTCGCGTAATTGTGATTTATGCCAAAGAACTAAATACCTAAATTATCGCATGGAAGGGAAGTTTCAATTTGTTAAATCGAACGTTCCTAACGACATTATATCTGTGGATTTTTATGGTCCTCTCCCGACTTCGGTCGCGGTCGTCAAGTACATTTTTGTCATACAGGATTTATTTTCAAAATATGTTACCCTTTTTCCCATAAAGGCCGCGAAAACGAAAATTTGCTTGGACAAATTAACAAAGCGTTATTTTGTTGAGGTAGGAAAACCGAAGCGTATCTTGTCCGACAATGGCACGCAATTTACGGCCCACGCTTGGAAGTCGACGTTAGAATCACTTGATATCCGTGTCTCTTTTTCATCTATCCGCCATCCCCAGTCAAACCCGGTAGAGCGAACAATGCGCGAGCTCGGGCGTTTATTTCGCACATATTGTGCAAAAAGTCATGCGGGTTGGGCAAAGCAAGTGGGTTTTATTCAAGACGTTTTGAATTTTTCGTGTCACCAAAGCACTGATCAGGTTCCGTACGAATTGCACTTTGGGACGGAAGTAAAAGAGCAAATCTATCAGTTATTTCCTCTACTGTAACGTAGACCGACTGACCGAAAGATTCAGATCGAATTGGCACGGGAAAAGCTCAGATTAGCTTTTGAAAAAAGGAGTAAAAACCAAGGTAAAGAGAGCCGCGTTGAGTTGAAAGAGGGAGATCTTGTGTTGATTCGGGTGCCGCATCCGTCAGTCGCGCTTGAGAAACAAATTTATAAATTTTTCCATCTTTATGAGGGTCCTTTTCGCATTGGCCAGAAAGTGAGCGATAATGCGTTTGTTTTATTTGAAATTGATCGCCGAATAGTTGGATGTGATGGTGCGTTCTTTGTTTATTGTAAATTAAATTGCAATTATTGGCTCGCCACTCATCTGTAAAATCGACGTTGTAATGTTGTTGACTAATTTTTTGTATTAAATCTGAATTGTGCAAACTTATTGTAAACGATTTTATTTCAATGCTCGTCGATCCCTTACATTGAAAGGGGGATAAATGTAGCGAATTTTATAGGTGTGCACGGGGTGTTGAAGAATGTGTGGTCTGCGGTGTAATTATAATCGTCGATGTCCGGAGAATTTCCGAAAAACTCCGAAAAATCGTCGTTGTACGCGGTAGAGTCGTCGGCGATGCGAATCTGAGATTCACATTCGCAGGTGTCTGGGAGCGAGAAGCATCAATTACCCGTTAGCGGGGTGAGTAAAAAGAAAATTGTCCTCGTTGGTTGCTGGCGCGTGGTGTGCTAAAATAATTTTATTAACTTAAATGAAATATTCCAGTTCTTGTGCCGGGTGCCGGATTGATCTATAAAAAAATCGAATATCTGAGTCACCGATTTTTTCCACAAAATTATAAGCTGCAATCGAGGGCTATATCGAGACAAATCCGTTGGCGTGGCGTCTACAAAATCATTTCTTTTGTACGAGTCCTGTGTGACGAAATTACCTGACGTGGCGCTGCCAAGGATTGCGAGTATCCTGATTGTCAAGCGAAAAATCTGATTGACCGCTGTCGATACAAAAATACTATTTCTGGAATAAAATTGTAATGATTTTATCAGGAATTAATTAATAATAATTTGGACTAATTAATAATGCTGAACCTGTATTTTTAAAAGAACTTGCAAAATGCTTTTTAAAATAAAAGGCCATTCAACCACAGCCCCACAAAAAAAAGTGTCGTGCGCAGCAGACCAGACTAGTCATTTCCCATGTATTTTGACGCGCTGAACACGAATCCGAAGTCCGTTTTGCTCCATCACGTCAGGATTTTTTTCTAACCTCCAAAAACCTGTCGGATTTTGAGAGAGAGGTAGGCTATTTTTTTAAAAAATTGATGGATTTACTTCAAAATTGGTATCTAGGGGTTTTTTGGGTCGCTGACGACGAATTTGAAGTTAGATTTTCAAAATTTAAAATGGCGGCTCCAATATGGCGGACGAATTTTGTAAAAATTGATGGATTTACTTCAAACTTGGTATCTAGTGGTTTTTTGGGTCGCTGATTACGAATCTAAAGTTAGATTTTCAAAATTTAAAATGGCGGCTCCAATATGGCGGACGATATCGACCCTTCAAAGGTGATAATTCCGCCCTTACACACGAAAATAGGAGCAATTAAACAGTTTGTCAAAGCCTTAGATAAAAAAGGAAACTGTTTCAAATACCTGGCACAAAAGTTTTCAGAATTCTCTGATGCGAATCAAAAAGAAGGGGTTTTCGACGGACCACGTATTCGCAAATTGTTAAAAGATGAGCAGTTTATCACCAAGATGAATAAAAAGGAGAAAGACGCATGGCTTAGTTTTAAAGCAGTTGTCGAAAATTTTCTGGGCAATCACAAGAATGAAAATTGGGAGCAAATAGTTAGTGATATGATTAAAAACTTTGGTAAGTTAGGATGCTTAATGAGCATAAAGTTGCATTACTTAGACTCGCATCGGGATCAATTCCCTGAAAATTTGAGAGATTACAGTGAAGAACAAGGAGAACGATTCCATCAAGATCTGAAAGAATTTGAGCGTCGTTATCAAGGAAGATGGGATGTAAATATGATGGCCGACTACTGTTGGATGCTGAAAAGGGATATTGTACCTGGAGGCACCAATTTGAAAAGAAAACCATTACACAGATTCTTTGAGGACAAAAGAGTGCGATACCATAAAAAGACGTGAATACCTTACTTATGTATATAAGAATTTCCATTTCTAGTTTTGAAAATCTAACTTCAGATTCGTAATCAGCGACCCAAAAAACCCCTAGATACCAAGTTTGAAGTAAATCCATCAATTTTTACAAA